AGACAGCCTCTTGAAAATAATTAACAATGGCAAAATGCCTAAATGTTAGTGCATTTCAATGAGAGGTAGGTTTCTTTCCATGAAAGAATATAGAAAAAAATAAAAATAAAAATAAATCTTTCTCTGCACTTGTTATAATGTTTTCTCTTACCTTCTTAAAAGAATTCCATTTGTTTACTGTATTCTGTGAAATGATTATGCGTGCATCTGTGTACTGGTTTAAGAGAGAGCTCTTTCTCTTTCTGGAGGAATTTTAGCGATTATGGTCTTAGAGTTTTCTTCCTAAGTAGTTTCTTTTTTTTAAGCTGCTCATTAATCGTAGCATCTCCCTGAGTGAAGAGACCTGATTATTTCTAATGGTAAGGAGGAAAGGTGATTTGTTTTGACCTTAATACTGAACATTTTCTTGGCTCATTGGCTTTTATTGTCACCTTACCTTGCCTGTGAATGTGACATCAGGATATGTGAGTGAATTATTGCGTGTTGTGAGGAAGACTGTTTTCTTGAACTTCATTCCCTAAGAGCATTACTGCACTTACAAAAATTAGGTAAGAGTTAAAGGAACTGTGGTTTAGAAGTGAGAACAGGAGGAAATGGCTGTTTTCCCCTTCTAGAATGAATAAAGAACTAGGACTTTAAATTTGGCACAATATAAGTTTAACTTTTCCTTATACCACCTGTGTATTAAAAAAGAAATTTGTTGAATGGAAATATATTGAGTAAGGAAATTCTTAAGGAGTCCCAATAATCTGTATCTCTTTAGCAACATATTTGATATAATATCATGTTTAATTAATACTGTTGTCAATTCACAAGATCATGCTCTTTGCAGGATGAAAGGATTCTGTGTAGAGTAGTCAAACTTAAGAAATATATGGTCTGCTGGTAATGTGTTGGAAGTTTCCTTCTTTATTTGTTATGCTTTTCATATGTATGTGCAAGTATGTGATTCATAGATTTTTAACGCTAATCTAAAAACATTCTTTGGGAGTCTTACCTTCTGTTTACCTGCCCATTTACTTTTTGTTATTGACACATTTTATTTTTCAAGCAACTGGTATGTACTACTTTTAAAGCCTTTATTATATAGCTTCCAATAATCTGTAACAGTGAAAATTCATGGTCATTGGTCTCTTTAAGTAGTCTGGAAATAATTAGAACTACCTGCTTGCCAGCTGCCTGCTCTCTGACTTGGTAGTTTCTGTTTCACTGGTATTTTTTTTTAAGGTATTGCTATTTAGAAAACTTCTACTCCTCAGTTGCAGTTAAGGTAGGCGCTAAGTGCGAGGAAGCTCTCTTCTCTGTTAGTAAGTGGTCCCGTTAGGTGTCTGTGCAGAGTGGTCCTGTGGCCTCCCCGCTTGCGTTAGCTACTTAGCATGGATGGGAGGGGGCCCAGCCTGCATTGAGGAAGCTGCCTCCCTCTCTTTGACGTAGCCTTCAGGATCAGGTCTTGCTGTGGGTTCCATCCTGTGGCTCAGTCTGACTTTGCTGAATGAAATGCATTTTCTTCCCAGTTCCATTTCTTCATGTTCTTCCCACATCAGCTGATAGCAGCCTGTTCTGAATGCTGCCCACAAATTGTTAGCTATTTTGCTACTAGGTCCCCCAAATCACCCCTTAAGAAAGGAGTTGTTGTGTTGCAGATCCAGAACTGTGTCACTTAGTGAAGCAAATCTAATCCTTGCCAAAGAATGCCTAACATTTAAGGCTTGATTCCAGAAAAAAAGGAAATAATAACAAAAGCAGTACCTGTAAGGAATGTATATTGCATGCCAGGCATTATATAAGCAGGTTGCATTCATTAGCTTAGTTAATCCTCAATAACCTTTAAAGTGGTTTCTATTGTTGCCCACACTTTATAGATAAGGAGCCATGGAAAAATTAAATAACTTGGTTATATGTTGGTTATATGGTTATATGTTACCAGACAAATCCAAGATTTTGATCCCAGTCAGCTTGACACCATGTTTAGCTGCTAGGCAAAACTTCGCCTCCCTGTGTCTTGTTGAAGCTTAAATCTCACTATAAAGTAGGCAGGAGCTTGATGCTTTTATATATTAAAATCATTCTGAATTTACTTCTAAGATTATGAAAAAGGTGAAAGTGTTAGTCGCTCAGTCGTGACCGACTCTGTTGTGAACGTATGGCCTGTAGCCTGCCAGGCTCCTGTCTCTACTGTGATGTTTGTTGTTGTTGTTGTTTGGGGAATTGTTCTTAGAGAACCAGCTGCAGATGCCAGACTAATTGCTGGAGTTAAGGTCCTATATTTCTGGTCTGGCACAGTGATGAGAAGAAGAGATACTAGTGGTTAGGGGTCGTAGGATTCAGGACAACTCATTAGAAGATCAGTTAGCTGGTGAGATTTGTTAATGTTTGTGCTATTGCTCCTTATAAAATTCTCTTCCCTCTTTTCTGCCCATCTCAATTCTGTGTCTTCTCAGGTTCTCTCTTCTTTGTGAAGTCTTTACCTGTGTTTACTTTTTCTCCCCCAGGTGAAGGTCATACTTCATCCTCTGTTCTACTTATACCATGTACATAGCTTTATTTATTGTATTTCCAGTGCTGTATAGTTGGCTGTTTCACATATGTCTTTCTTCTCTACTCGATTGTGAGGTCCCTGAAGTGAAGGCTGTGTCTGATTAATCTTCGTAGCTCAAGCCACATCCACCTCATTTTATCACATTCCATGTTCAAGGCAGAGCTTAACTCTGAATTGAGCTGGAGTTGGTCTCCTTGTGCCTTCCTTCCATTAGTCCTTAACCTAACATCAGAAACAACTTCAAACAAAGTTACTCTTGTGCTGGTCATTCTTATATTTGAATCATTTACTATGTATAGTTCCATACTGTCTTTATTTGAGCTTAACTTTTTTATAATTGACATCTTTGCTTCCCTGGTTTTCTTTTTCTTCTTTTTCTCAATAAGTGTAAATTTTCTTTTCCTCCCCCAGTGTATAGACCCATGTAATTTTAGGAACTGAAAGGTGCTAAATTTGCTTAGCCTTGATCCTTCATCCAGCTAATATTTGTTCAGTACATACTGATTGAGTAGTTGAAAAAGACATAGAGATATTTGGGGGCAACCCAATATTTTGAATATTTAAGAATAATGAGGAAGTTTAGATTTAGTAGATTAAAAACGTCTTTCATCATTTATTCTGTCTTTAAATGTGTGTTGCTGAGTAACTTAAGAATTACGAGCAAAGTAGAAAGATGTTTTATGCTGAAGCTGTATATATACAGCACAGAAAGGTCTCCTAAAGATTTTTTTAGGATTATCATTAAGAATTTGATTCTAAAGCTGAGCTACCTGGGCTTCATTCTTGGGTCTACCACATACTAGCTATAAATTACTTAGTCCTGTGTGATTACTGAATCTCTCTGTGTCTCAGGTTCCATATTTGTAGAACAGAGTTGATAATAATATGGAGTGTTGTAAGGTTTAAATGAGTTAGTATTTACAAAGCACTAAGGTTTATATAGTATATATATATACATACTGGCATATAGTAAGTGTTCAGTATGTAGTATATAGTGTATATATATATATATATTCAGTTAGTCAGTCAGTTCAGCCACTCAGTCGTGTCTGACTCTTTGCGACCCCATGAATCGCAGCACGCCAGGCCTCCCTGTCCATCACCAACTCCCGGAGTTTACTCAAACTCATGTCCATCGAGTCAGTGATGCCATCCAGCTATCTCATCCTCTGTCGTCCCCTTCTCCTGCCCCCAGTCCCTCCCAGCATCAGGGTCTTTTCCAATGAGTCAACTCTCCTCATGAGGTGGCCAAAGTATTGGAGTTTCAGCTTCAGCATCAGTCCTTCTGATGAACACCCAGGACTGATCTCCTTCAGGATGGACTGGTTGGATCTCCTTGCAGTCCAAGGGACTCTCAAGAGTCTTCTCCAACACCACAGTTCAAAAGCATCAATTTTTCGGTGCTCAGCTTCTTCACAGTCCCACTCTCACATACATACATGACCACTGGAAAAACCATAGCCTTGGCTAGACTGAACTTTGTTGGCAAAGTAATGTCCCTGCTTTATGGTATGCTATCTAGGTTGGTCATAACTTTTCTCCCAAGGAGCAAGTGTCTTTTAATTTCATGGCCGCAGTCACCATCTGCAGGGATTTTGGAGCCCCCAAAAATAAAGTCTGACACTGTTTCCACTGTTTCCCCATCTATTTGCCATGAGGTGATGGGACCAGATGCCATGATCTTAGTTTTCTGAATGTTAAGCTTTAAGCCAACTTTTTCACTTTCCTCTCTCACTTTCATCAAGAGGCTCTTTAGTTCCTCTTCACTTTCTTCCATAAGGGTGGTGTCATCTGCATATCTTAGGTTATTGATATTTCTCCCAGGAATCTTGATCCAGCTTGTGCTTCTTCCAGCCCAGCATTTCTCATGATGTATTCTATAGTATATAGTATAGTATATAGTAATTATATATATATAATATATAGTATATATATAGTATGTAGTTATATAGTATATAGTTCAGTATATAGTAATTGCTGCTGCCACCACCATCACCACCCTTACTACTATCACTGTTACTGAATTATAGAAGCACCTCCTGAGATGTGGGATGTACCTGTGGAACTTCTAGTCAGACCTTACCAAGTCATCATCTACTTATCATATAAGTTTCTTGTCTTAATAAGAAGCCCTGCATATCAGTGTCTGCACCAAAGCATGATTTGCCTAGATTGTAACCGCATCTGCAGGGTAACGAAGTATTTTGTTCTGGGGTTTTACTGGAGCAATTTAAGAAAGGCAGAAGACCCATTAGCTTTTGGAGTCTGTTCCTTTGAGAAAACTTGCTAGGAATCCATTTCCTGTCATTTTAAAAAGAGTAAATTTATTTTCTTCATTGACGTCCTGTAAACAAGATAATGGCAATTTGTATTTTGTGGAATATGTTTTAAAGTAGATTTAATTTTCCTTAGTAAATGCTTTTTAATAATGCATGAGTGAATTTTCTTTCTCTGTTGTCAGGTTGCTATCAAGATCATTGATAAGACCCAGCTGGATGAAGAAAACTTGAAGAAGATTTTCCGAGAAGTTCAAATTATGAAGATGCTTTGCCACCCCCACATTATCAGGCTTTACCAGGTAGGATCCCTAGTGGTAGCGTGGGGCAACAAGGAACCCAGGGTGGTCACTTGTGTCTGTGGTTACTTTTGAAGAGAAGGTGGGTGGATGAACATCTGCAACTTTTTTTTTTCTATATTCATATGTTCATCCTACTATTTCCCTACCTTATTATCTATCCCCCAACTCAGTACTTCAGTTTTCCCCGGGGATTTACTAGTAAGCTCTAGCTTACCTAGGTAAGCTTGGATGCCATTCTTAGAGTTACACAAAAAGATTATTTAGAAGGTGATGAGAACCTGTTTATTTAGGTCCGAATCCTAAAGCAGAATGGGAAATCCAAAAGGAACAGAGAATTTGAAGAGATTAAAAGAATATTAACTTTTATAGCATTATTGAAATACCAATGTCTGTGATCATTTTATGAATTATCACCAAGGGTATTTTCAGTGTGGCTTGTTGTACCAGTCAAACCTATCTCCTTTTAGCTCTGATAGGGTCCCAGACATGGTTTCCTAAGGTTGCACTGATTCCTTCGATAGCCAGGAGATTGTGCATGCATGCTTAGTCCCTCAGTTGTGTCTGGCTCTTTGTGACCCCATGGACTGTAGCCTGCCAGGCTCCTCTGTCCATGGGGATTCTCCAGGCAAGAACACTGGTGTGGGTTGCCATGCCCTCCTCCAGGGGCTTCTCAATCAGGGATCGAATCCAGGTCTCCTGCATTGCAGGTGGATTCTTTACCATGTGAGCCACCACGGAAGCCCAACCAAGAGATTGACTCCACATAATGGCAGAGTTTTCTGTTCTAGTTTACTTACCTTCCCAGGAAGCATGCATATTTCATGCCGTCATCAAAAGTGATTCCCCAGCCTTACTGCAAAAGTAGTGAATCTAATGGCTGGAATTTTAAGCCAGATAGGAGAGGAGGACCTTGCCGTAGCAGGCGGGTGGAAGAGATATTTTGGGAGAGGTGGGGCTTTGGGGTGCTTCTCAAATTGCAGTGTGTTGGCAACCATGAGCCCTGCCTGTGCGTGAGGCCAGCCCTGCTCACTGCTCTCTACCAGAACAGCCAACACCTCGTTCTGCAGGAAGTGGCCACCCACTCAGTTCATTTGCTGCTGTTAGTCTGCAGTAAATGGTTACTGGCCCAGACCTGGGATCATGAGTAAGAGTGGAAAGAGTACATCTGAGGCACAGCAGGCAGCCTTTCAGTCTGCTACTTTATGGAAAAGAAAGCATGTCGTGATATCAGTGCATGTTTACGACTGTAGCCTTAGGGCTCTTGTCTGGTGTCACCTGCTCACATCATGAAATGAATTAGATCAGCAGGAGCAGGATTGTTGAAATTTTATCACACAAAGTTATATTGAGCAACACCTCCGTTGTGCCTGAGAAGGAAACCCATGAAAGCTTCTTGGGGTTGTCTGAAGAGCTGTGTCTGCAAGTTCAGAGATGCTGCTTCCTTCCTATCCTGACAGACAGTAAACTTCTTGACCTCACTTTTTAAAATAAATCATCTTTTAATAGTTGTAGAGCTCATTATAAAGGCTGACTTTCCTTAAGAGGTTAACTTATAGGTATTAACCTTATCACTGAAATCTGCAAATTTACCTTTCTTACCCAAGATTTCATTAGCCTTTCTGATTTATAGACTTTCAACCCTGGCTTTGAATATCGCCCTCTTTTAGGCTTTAATTTTGCTGTCTGGCAGCTAGTATTGTTAATGGGAGAGTCTGAGCTGCCAAGGTGAGTATGACTGTTGAATCGTCTTCATACAGTATTAAGGTAGTTTTTATGTCATTTGCTAAAGCTTCAGTCTTCTTGGGCTTCCAGAATGAACCAAATTTAGATAACTATATAGGGAAGTTTTTGAACTCCTGAAAAGCTTAAAAAAAAAAAGTCTAAAGTTAAACACAACATTGTAAATCAACTCCACTTCAACAAAATTAAAAAAAAAATAAAAAGATTTACAGTCAATAAAGTGAAAGTGAAGTCACTTAGTCGTGTCCGACTCTTTGTGACCCCATGGACAGTAGCCTGCACCAGACTCCTCTGTCCATGGGATTTTCTAGGCAAGAGTACTGGAGTGGGTTGCCATTTCCTTCTCCAGGGAATCTTCCCAACCCAGGGATCGAACCCAGGTCTACCCACATTCTAGACAAACGCTTTACCGTCTGAGCCACCAGGGAAGTCCATAAAAGGCCTGGTATAAAGGGGATATACACTATGACATTTTTTTTCTTCTTTTTTATTTTTCCTTAACACTTACTTATGTTTAGGATACTTACTTTTTGTTACATGAGCCAACATATAGAGAGCTTGGAAGCAATACATGTAACAGTGGGCTAGTATCACCAGTCTGTAGAGAGTTTTTAAGTTAAAGTGAGAAAAATGATGCAGTTGTTACATTGAAAAATTAAAATAATGTGCATACATACAATGGAGTACTATGAAACCATTTAAAAGAAGAAATAGATCTATTGTTATAATGGTATTAATGTATAGAGATGTCAAAAATAAAATGACTAGGGAATGATTTGACAGAATAATTAACTTGTCAAGTATAGTGAAAGTGTAGAACTGTATTGCCTACTTTGATAGTCACTAGCCACATGTGGTTGTGTATTAACATGTGGCTAGCATGAATGAGGAACTGGATTTTTACTTTTATTTAATATTAATTTAAATATAAAAACTGGAGCTGTTTACAATTAAAAGTGTTTGAAATATATTAATGATAATAAAATACAATAGAATTAATTTCACCTTTTTCTTTTTACTTTTCTAATGTGTTACTAGAAAAGTTAAAATTGTATGTGAGACTCACATAGTATTTCTGTTGGATACCACTACTCTAGAATGATATAAAATAGACTATTAACAGTTTCCTCTGGGGAATAAAATGGAAAGGCTTGCACAGAGGAAAACGTTGGTCTTTTGTTTATATACTAGGTATTTAAAATGTTTATAATGAACATTTATACTTATATATTAATACTTTAATAAATATTTGATGAAAAAGGTGAAAAGGAAGAAGGTACTGACAACACACCACAAGTTTTTAGAAAAGTAGCAAAATAAAGACTAAGATTAAAATACAAATGAGTAGTTTATATCTTTGAGGTTGTTGAATGGAAAGTTGTCATTTCCATTTTTTAAAAAGCACAGCTATATGTAATATCTGTGTAGTTCTTAAGTGATTCCAGTTGTTCTCCCTAAGTTTTATTTTGATTGGGTTTTGGGAGGGACATTTTTGAGCTTCAAGTGATCAATGATCCAAAACGTCAAGTGACCAAATGTGAACTTTTTGGTTCTTGGCAGCATCTTTGCGTCTTTTTGTGGAGCTTGAAAGATTGCTGAGGCCTGCTGGGACAATGCAAGGACTGTCTCTCTCAAGTAGTAAATATTTCCTACTTTTAAGAACTTGGAGGAATACCCGTTTCCCCCCTTCCTAATGACATTTATATCTGTTCCCCTCCCAGCCCCACAAGTTTGAAGTCTCCTTTAGGCAGAAATGATTATTAACATTTCACATGACAAAAGAAAGAGTTGTTAGTTTCTCTTCCTGTGCTATCAGCCTGTCACTTGTGTCACTGTCATTTTCCTGCCTTTGCACCAGGTTATGGAGACAGAGCGGATGATTTATCTGGTGACAGAATATGCGAGTGGAGGGGAAATATTTGGTGAGTACACTTATTGCGTTCTTTAAGCAGCTATTGAGCACGCTACGGCAAACTTAGAACAGCTGTCCGACGCCTTTGTCACGTGAACAGCTGTCACTTGATGCTGTCCTTCAGCGCTGGCATTTTCTACCAACAAAGCAATTTTAATTATTTTTGAGTCCCCTCTTAAAGTTCTCACCATCTTTGTTTCCTTAGCAAAGGTGGTTTGTTTGTTTCGGTCAGGTGTTGACAGTTGAGATTAAAGATCTTCAAAAACAGAACATTTCTCTGAACATGAGGGTCTTTCCTACCGCCAGTTTCTAGCTGGAGTGACAACATGTGACGGAACCCCTTCAGATGTGGTGGGCCCCTGTTGTGTATGGAAGAGTCTCTCAGAGCAAGCAGTCTCACCCTAACTCATTCTTTATCATTTACTTGCATATGACATGCAACTGTATTCCTTACCATGTGTTCACAGTTTCCTTGATGATTCTTGTAATTTAGGAGGTTTTTTGTTCAGTAACTGTGTTTTTTTTCCCCTCTAACACTTAGCACAACATTAGAATTAAGCTGAAGAATTTGTTATCAGGAAATATGTCATTTTGAGGTGGTAAAAACTGGCCCCCCTAAATTTTTCTTTAGGTAAGCTGTGATAAATGGAGCCAAATAAAGACTAAACTTTCAAACCTAGATTGACATGTCTTTTTATTTTTAAATTTTATTTCTTTTTGGCATGTGAATATAGAAAAGGGTTTCATATGTATTTTAGGTTTATCTAGTGTATTTTTTTAGATTTTGATTTGGTTTAAGTCTGGATGGTAAGAACTTTTAAAATTTTTTAAATATTGGCACTTGCTATTTGCCTCAGTTCAGTTCAGTTCAGTCGCTCAGTCGTGTCCGACTCTTTGCGACCCCATGAATCGCAGCACGCCAGGCCTCCCTGTCCATCACCAACTCCCGGAGTTCAAACTCATGCCCATCGAGTTGGTGATGCCATCCAGCCATCTCATCCTCTGTTGTCCCCTTCTCCTCCTGCCCCCAACCCCTCCCAGAATATATATTAATATATATATATTATATATATTAGTTTATATATTATATATATTAATTTATATTATATATATTAATTTATATATTATAATATTATTTATACATAATATTATATATATTATGCCTAATATATATTAAAAAGCATGAAATCACTATTAAGTGGCATTTTCTTATTAGTGACTGGCGAGTTGTGACTGAGAATTTTTTGATATGTTAAACTGAAAGCTGATCATTTGATATCTAATAATCTTCAAAATAAGTGTGAATCTTTTAAAAAGAGGTATTATTTCCTAATGATGTTTTCACTTGCCTTTGTATCTGCTTATGTATAATGGTAATCTTGGGAGCAAAGAGACCTTGTCATCTTAACATTCATAATAATCAAAGAACCAAACACAGTGCACATCAGATCTCCCTTGCTCCTTAGAAGACAGATTTCAAAAGTACAGAAAAGATAACAATGCCCTGGTTGTAGATTCTTTGTGGGAACATAGCTCATGACGTGAAGAAATAGAATAGTACTTCTCATGGTATTATTATAAAAGATCTGGAGGAGGAAGAAATTGCTGTTACCAAGAGAAATGACTGTGCCTGCACAAGGATGGAAGTGTCTCATGAGGTCTAGTTTTTAGGTATCTGTATCAGAGATGAAAGGATAGGTTTAATCAAGAATATGCACTTTGGAGGCAGCTCTACCTGTTTTTGAATCACATTGTTGCCACCTGTTTGCTTTTTTACTTGGATTCTGGGACTCACATTCATGGCCTATAAAGTCAGATCTGTAATATATGCCTTGTAGTTGGGACGATTAAATGAGATAGCACATAGAGAGCCCTAGCACTTTGCTTCCTTTTCCTCTGTGTAATAGAACAAGTGGTTGATGGGCTGCTGGTAGGAGAATGTGAGACACTCTGCTGCCCTCCCCAGTGAAACTGGTGAAAGTAATTTTAAAAAACCCCTAAACTCCAGCCATTTAAAGTCTCTGGAAATGGTTCTGAGGGTGAACAGCAACTGAAGAAACATTTATTCAAGAACATCTATGAAAATTTGCTAAGAAGTAAGAGCGCTTGTGGTCTTTAAGCCAGTGCTACTTCCTTCTTCCCCTCTAGCCAACTCAGCAAGGTGGAGATTCCAAATCGGCAAGGTTACTCCAGCCAAGACCACAGCCTGCCCTCTGGCCTCCCCTTTTCACCTAGACTAATGGATTTCTTCCTGGAGGAACGGGACATAAACATTTCTCATCCTGCCCTGGCTACCTATTGCTGTTGCTAAAGCATGGGTTAGAGCAGTTGAACCGTGAGGAGTCCTTTGTCTGCCCAACTCATACTTGTAGAGTTTGGGTGAGGCACGCTGAGAATACTGGGACCCAGCTCATTCTTGCTTTATGTTCTAAACTAGTAGGTTATCTCAAGAGAGGCAAGCAGGGAGAATTTAGAATCTGCACCCTTTCTCTCCAATGAACTCTGCTCCTAGAGAGGGAGTGTTACTCAGAGAAAGCTTTGCCATTGTCCCCACGTCTAGCTTCAGAGTCCTGGCTCAGAGATTTGTCCAGAGGGAGAAACAGACCATAACACATATAGCTCCTAATTTCTTCCCGTTGGGACTGGCTTCATTTGCAACAGAGAATGAAGACGTTTAAGCCTGAAGGCATTCATAAAAACAGTGGAGGTTGTGGTAAAAGGCATTTCAGAGGAGATTTGAGCAGGCTAAACTATAAGCCAGCTAGTTTGCAAGCAAGAACCAGGGAATAGAACATCACAAGAGCCTTCTAAGGTCAGAAGAAAAATCAAACACTGATCTCAGAAACTCTTCCTTCAAAGGAACGAGAATTTGATTAGATTGTTTATAGACCAGTTTATGCTCTAGGACACTACTGAAAATAATAGAGCAACCAGCCACAATTTTTGGATTTTAACAGCTGGGCATGGTTAAAGAAAGATAGGAAGAAAGCTCTACCCAAACCATGGTGATCCAGTGATCTGTTTGTAAGTGTGGATGTAACAAGGATGTGTGCCTCCCTGAGGAATAACATCAGAAGCTGATCACTATGTATAGGGGAATTCAGTTCAGTCGCTCAGTTGTGTCCGACTCTTTGTGACCCATGGACTGCAGCATGCCAGGCCTCCCTGTCCATCACCAACTGCCGGAGTTTACTCAAACTCATGTCCATTGGGTCGGTGATGCCATCCAGCCATCTCATCCTCTGTCGGCCCCTTCTCCTCCAGCCTTCAATCTTTCCCAGTGTTTCTCAGGGTCTTTTCAAATGAGTCAGCTCTTCGCATCAGGTGGCCAAAGTATTTCAGCTTCAGCATCTGTCCTTCCAATGAACATTCAGGACTGATTTCCTTTAGGATGGACTGGTTGGATCTCCTTGCAGTCCAAGGGACTCTCAAGAGTCTTTTCCAACACCACAGTTCAAAAGCATCGATTTTTTGGTGCTCAGCTTTCTTTATTCCCACTCTCACATCCATTCATGACTACTGGAAAAACCATAGCCTTGACTAGATGGACCTTTGTTGGCAAAGTAACATCTCTGCTTGTTAATATGCTGAGTTGGTCATAACTTTTCTCCCAAGGAGTAAGTGTCTTTTTACTTCATAGCTGCAGTCAGCATCTGCAGTGATTTTGGAGCCCCCCAGAATAAAGTCTGACACTGTTTCCACTATTTCTCCATCTGTTTGCCATGAAGTGATGGGACCAGATGCCATGATCTTTGTTTTCTGAATGTTGAGCTTTAAGCCAACTTTTTCACTTTCCTCTTTTCACTTTCATCAAGAGGCTCTTTAGTTCTACTTCCCTTTCTTCCATAAGGGTCGTGTCATCTGTATATCTGAGGTTATTGATATTTCTCCCAGCAGTCTTGATTCCAGCTTGTGCTTCCTCCAGCCCAGCTTATCTCATGATGTACTCTGCATATAAGTTAAATAAGCAGGGTGACAATATACAGCTTTTACATACTCCTTTTCCTATTTGGAACGAGTCTGTTGTTCCATGTCCAGTTCTAACTGTTGCTTCCTGACCTGCACACAGATTTCTCAATAGTCAGGTCAGGTGGTCTGGTATTCCCATCTCTTTAAGAATTTTCCACAGTTTATTGTGATCTGCACAGTCAAAGGCTTTGGCATAGTCAATAAAGCATAAATAGATGTTTTTCTGGAACTTTCTTGCTTTTTCAATGATCCAGCAGATGTTGGCAATTTGATCTCTGGTTCCTCTGCCTTTTCTAAAACCAGCTTGAACAGCTGGAAATTCACGGTTCACGTATTGTTGAAGCCTGGCTTAGAGAATTTTGAGCATTACTTTACTAGCGTGTGAGATGAGTGCAATTGTGCGGTGGTTTGAGCATTCTTTGGCATTGCCTTTCTTTGGGATTGGAATGATAACTGACCTTTTCCAGTCCTGTGGCTACTGCTGAGTTTTCCAAATTTGCTGACATATTGAGTGTGGCACTTTCACAGCATCATCTTTCAGGATTTGAAATAGCTCAACTGTAGTTCCATCACCTCCACTAGCTTTGTTCATAGTGATGCTTCCTAAGGCCCTCTTGACTTCACATTCCAGGACGTCTGGCTCTAGGTGAATGATCACACCATTGTGATTATTGGGGTCATGAAGATCTTTTTTGTACAGTTCTTCTGTGTATTCCTGCTACCTCTTCTTAATATCTTCTGCTTCTGTTAGGTCCATACCGTTTCTGTCCTTAATTGAGCCCATCTTTTCATGAAATGTTCCCTTGGTACCTCTTATTTTCTTGAAGAGGTCTCTAGTCTTTCCCATTCTATTGTTTTCCTCTATTTCTTTGCACTGGTCACTGAGGAAGACTTTCTTATCTCTCCTTGCTGTTCTTTGGAACTCTGCATTGAAATGGGTAATCTTTCCTTTTCTCCTCTGCTTTTGGCTTTTCTTCTTGTCACATCTATTTGTAAGGCTCCTCAGACAGCTATTTTGCTTTTTTGCATTTCTTTTTCTTG